TATATCAAACAGAGTTTTACACAATTCTTGAAAGAACATAAATAGTATCCAATATAAGCTTTTCCAGAATGCACTTTACATTACATGCATGAAGAAGTTGTTCTCTATACGCTCTACTAAACACATAAAATAACAACATAAGCATGTGATTGATGAATTCCCAGCTTTCCGTATATACAACTCAGGCTAAGATTGAATACCTGAAGATTTCATTTCGGACACAAACACATGCAAAAATTTGACTAAGACTAGCAGCCTAAACTGTAAGCATGTGTCAGTACAATTGCAATCATCAGTAATCACGGTATTATATTGAATCTACTGACTGTGGCCCATAAAATTTAATAACCAATATTATCTTGAATATTGACGTAACAATATAGTTATACCCTGGATGAACTGAGCATGCTGCAAAAGCCAACTAAATACCTGAGCTAGGGATGTAAAGCATTCCAAAAGCGGGAAAAGATCTTTATCGTAGTCAGAAAGTTGCTGCCACTTTGCTATCAGTGGAGGCATCAGGATCTCGAGATATTTAGGCTGGACATATAATTAATTAAGATAAATATTTATGAGCGAATGAAAAAGATATCCTTCCATTAACCTTTCAAACACAATTATGCATACTAGCTTTACCTGATTAAGTTCTCCTCCAACAGCATCTGCTAATGTTCCAATAGCATCATATACAATTCTAAGGTTCCGCCTCTGCAAGGAAAGACATGTTACACTACAAGGAAACAGGAAGGAAGCAAACAGAATCGGCACTGTAAAAAATAAGTGATCTAATTAAAGGACTAAGGAAAGCCGAAAAAAAAAAAAAACACAGGTCAACCTGGTATTTGCTAAAGGCACACATTAAATGTTGCAATATGATTTCTAGTCGTGGTGCTAACTGTTCCGCAGCCTCCTGCATACAAAGAAAAGTTTCCACGTCATTTTATTTTAATTGGAACCGGTTAGGTAAATGAAAAAGGTAGTTGTAGGAAGAACTGAACAAGACCTCTTCAAGTGTAGCGAAAGCTGAACAAGCTGCCCCTTGTACTCGCTTATTATCATCCAATATTCTTTGCAATAGACCCATAAGAACTCTATCGAATTGCTCGTGGCCTACTTGATGAGCAGTAATCTAGAACACACAAGAAAATTCTGTCAACTCAGGAATGACCTAACCACATTATTAGTGAATAAGAATTTCTAATGGTAATAATAATACTACAAAACTACTAAGAGGGTGATTGTTTATGGATTCAACTAGTTTTTATTTCGCTTGTTTTTTAACTATAGTTAATTTTGAAAAAAGGCAATATGGTTAGTTGTTATTGGGATATATTAAAATAATATTTAAATAAAATAATTAAAGTTGATTTGATGCAAAATATGAGAAAAATTATTGGAAGTGATGGTTAGTTGAAATTATGATTGGATAAATAGTGAATTAAAGTTGATGTGATGTGTAAGAATGATTGGTTGATATTATTTAATTATATTGATAATATTGAGGATAGTGGAGTTGAGTTAAATTTGAGTTTTGAATGGTTTTTTTTTTTTTTTCTTTTTTCACTCCCTAAGTAACCCTGAGCCCGCCCATGGTGAATCTCGAATCAGAAAGTCCATCAAATGGGTAAGAGACATTATATCAAGGGAACGATGAGAAAAGATAAAGATGAATGACAAACAAAAACTGCAGGTTGTATTTGAACATTAAGGAAAAGATCCTTAAATTTATTACCTGAATAATATATTTGCTGAAACGTGAAAGTGCCCAACAAGAGATGCTTCGTATCAACGGAAACTTATCATCCAGGAGTGGAATAAGAAACGCAATGATCTGCATAACAAAGGGATAGAGGTTATACCCAACAAATTAATTGAGAGAGGTATGGCAGTGTACTAGAAACTAATTCAAGTGTATTTCCAAATATGAACAACTGGTCACAGCCAGAATATTAATTCCCACCAACCAGTGTTACAAGTCAATAAGGACACAATGGACATGAAAATCTATATAAATGCTCTAATAGAATGTATTGATTCGGATGACAAGCAAAAGAATGAGGCAGGTCAAACTGTGGTGAAGTTTTGAAGATGTAAAATTCAGATAAAGACAATCTCAATTAAACTGTAGGTGTGTCCTCACAGAAATTGTACTGGAGAAGCTCCTGCCTGGATGTTTATTTCGGACAGATAACATTAAGGTAACACGGCTACTTATATATGCCAAGATCACTCACTCTAAAACCAAACAAATATCTGGGCCATAAGGTTTGCAATCAGCCATTCTGACTCCAGGATGCATTCATTGTACAACTACCTCTGGGGTGACAAATTATATTTGATGGCCTTCTTGAATAGCAGCAACAAAGTTATAACTCAAGTCTATTTAGTTATTCAACTACCATTGGAGTACCATATCAATCATCAAACTTCAAGAGCAACAGAATTCATTTAATGTCAAGGTAGCTCCAAGAGAGCTATTGTTTGTATGAGATAACAGATAACAACCATTTGAATTTTGATAAGCTATGGTCTCTGCTAAGTAACATGAAGGAACCAAGATTCAGAAAAATTACCACAAGAAATATATTTTATGAGTGTAATCTATATCGAACAACAGAACGATATGAATATTCTACTGCTTGGATCTTTTTCAGACAACATTGCATATTACTTGAAAATCACGAAGTTAAAAATTTCTACTGTACATAGTATGACAGTAGAACCGAATAGACTTGGTTAATAAGAATCTACATGCAGGATCAAATTACTTTCGACCAATCAGATCTTACTGATATACTACCTCTGAGAGATAAGGATATAGACCATTAATGCAACCCTCGCCTATAGCACCAAGTGCTAAAACTGCAGCTTCCCTGTCTCTCCAAGCTTCATCACCTGTAGCTGACAGTTTTGCCTACAAGAGGAGTAAACACAGAGATCTTGTAACCTTTGAGATCATACAAAATCAAGGAATATTCGACTAGATACCAATTAGAATACCAAAAAAGGCAAAAAACCATCTTCCCTTCCTGATCATGTGAATACTTGCCACACCTTCCACCCGTAAACACTAGAGACAAACCCTCAGTTATAACTAATTTGATACACAAGATGTCTAATTTTAAAAAATGAACACAGTTAAATTGATGAGTTCAGTACATGTCATCATCTACTCACAGGACAGCATTTCACACTGTTGAAATGATTAAATTATATCAGAACGGCATTAGGAAAATTACGCAGAGTGGGCTTGTATACATCAAACAGGTGAAATTTCTAATAACATGCTATCAACTGTCCAATGCATAAGTAATAAATTAATTCCCATACATTTGTCAAGTGATTACAATCATATTTCAGGTTAAAATATGTCCAATCAGAGAATAACTCTAATCAAGTTAGATAGGCATATTACAAAGGTGTATGGGTACAGTGGCTTACTAGATCCAATATATAGACGCCAATGCATGAGATTGTCAAGATAATTATTGTGGTCAAATGGCAGTTACATTGGTTTAACGGGCTGAAAAGCAAGGTGATATATTGTAACTAGTTAGCTAGTTTAATGGGATGAGAAGTGAGAATCAGATTAACAGATCGTATTTAGTGGGCTGAAATCAGGTTGTACGTAGTTCAGCTTAATTAGTGGGCTGATTAGATTCTAATTAAGTTGTATACATACAATCTCGAACTCCGGCAAAGACAGTTTTAAGGTCAAAAATCCTTTTCACAGGTTCACATGGAATCAGCGAAGGCAAAGATCCCCAGTCCACGTCTACAAGGTTTAATCAACATACACATTGAACTAAAATAGATAAAATAGACAAAGATTCATAGTTTCAAGCCACCCTTCAACTCAGGAATATGAACAGGATATAAAAAGCATATACGATGGAGACCATTCGGAGCAAAAACACAAGCCTATTATTGCAAAGCAACGAATTACCTGTACAATGGGCATCAAAGTGGGTAAAATCTCGTCTCCAAATACATTAGAGAGAAAATCGAGAGCAGCTGCACTGCATTTGCGTAAATTCCAAACATTTACTGTGTCATCATCCTGGAATAATAAATCCAAGAGCCACATTAAAAATATTCAAGGGAATATGTAAAACCTGAAGCAAAACTCAGATGCTATGGAAAAATGGATAATCTAGTCATTTGAATCACAGATTGAGAATCTTTGATGAAACCAAAATACATACCTCGTCTTCAACATCATCAGATCCATGAAAACGGGATGAATGAAACCGGGGCTTCAAATCCTGCATCAAAATATCAGTATGAGGAAATCAAGTAAATCTTCACTGTATATTTAATTATTTATAGCATCATCAAGAATACAACTGCACCTGATCTCTGTCTGGAATAGATCCTTCTTCCTGCAAAGGACATGAAGATACAAAGAGCATTGATATCATAAGATGGTGATGACCCTATAATAGCTTTTAGCGGGTTTACAAGATGAACACACAACAAACCTCAGCTTCCAAAAGAGATTCATCATCATCAGTGTATTCCATGTTTGAGAGCAAAATCTACAGAAGTTTAATAGGATATTAAAACAAGCCATTTGGCAAAAAATAAAAAAATAAAAAAGGAAAGAAAGAAAGAAAGAACAATAAGAATCCTTTAAATCATGAATCTTACTGGTATAAGACGTGGCAAAAACTCTCTCAAGTTTTCAGGAGGCAGTTCAGCTTCACAATAAGCGGACCTATCAAAGAAATATAAGATTCTTAAGTACAGCAAAAGACAAGGGCAGAGTCAATAAGCACAACATGATAAAAAGGGTGTGCATTCAGAAGTAACAAATACTTAGTTGCCCAAAAGATTGTTAATCATTCATTCAAATGATAAATTTGTCTTATTACACACTATAACTCAAGCAACTAGATAAACCGTTCGATACATAAAAACTTACACCGTCAAATGCTATTCAGCGAGCTGTTCTCATTCACTTGTTTAAGCTAAAGGAGGGTTTAGCACTTATAATACATGCCAACAATTTACTAAAACTTCAAGTGAAGACAAACAACTGGGATATGATAATCAGCTAATATGGAAATGTAAACCTTTCGACAATCCTCAACAACATGAAAATTATTAATGACACTACCAGTTACACTTACAGGCATACAGTCAAGGGCATGGAACATACCAAAATTCACAGGCTTCTAGAGCCACTTCATCATCGGTATCTTCGCTGACTAGCAGCATATATTCAATTACTTTGTTCAAATGTGGCTGCAATTACACAAACACTATCAGAAACAGCAGTGAAAAACATTTAAGTATGAGGGTTATTTAAAAATGACAGATCAGAATCAGCCATGAGATAAGAAGTGGACCGTTAACCCTTAAGTGGACACCATCGAGATGCATCAGTATAAGTGATATGGCAAGTAATTACCCACCTCCAAGATAGCAGAACTAACTTCAATTAGCTGGACGAAAGCAGCGCATACCTATTCAAAATATGGAGGGAAAATCAAGAAGAATAACCAACTCAATCAGTTCCAACAGATGATGATAAACCTCTCCGAAGTTCTGAAATAAAAAATTAGTCACAAGAGATGAGTTATACTGATTGTCATTGACGCACAAAGGAGAAAAAGAACAATATGACCGTATAAGGCATTAAATCAACAGACCTACAGCAATCTTTATGGACTAGGACCTAAGTTGTATTAAATTTGTAATATATATATATATATATATATATATATTATATGCATAAATAGAACATAATAGACTAAACATAAGGCAGATAAACCTCAGACTCATTTCCGACTTCAGCGACTGAGCAATTATATAGACTACAGTTTCTCCACCACTTAGCTTTAGCATACGGTGGTGATAGTAACTGTACCCATGATTAAACAGCAGGCACACTTAGCAAAAGTAAAAAAAAAAA